AGCCTCTCAAGCAGCTGGGACTACAGGTGTGCACCACCAAGCCTGGCTAAGGGTTCTGCTTTAAAACTTGATTTAATACTCAGAATAAATCTCATCTGTCCTTATTCCCCTTCCACTCCAAACAAAGCTGGAAGGACAACATTTTACCAAGGCACTTCCTTCCTCATGACGCTCCAGGAGCTTGGGAACTCCGGGTGGGAGGTGGTATTGGGAGAGGCGGGCAGGGCCAGAGATGCGGATGTGGGGCTGGAGCAATTATGACCTGGAAGCTGGTGGGTCTGAGGTCTTCTGCAGGAAGGGTTGGGGAGACCTAGATAATGTGGGGACCAAAGGGGATAGATGGAAAGATGGGCAGGAAGAATCCAGCTCATACAGCAGTGAAAATGAGCGATCTAGATTTATGGATAAATCTTTAAAGCAAAATGTTAAGGCATGGGAGCAAGTTCTGCAGAATGCATACAGCGTGATACCATTTACATACAGTTTCGATGCATTGTTCAGGCTGCCTGGTGAATACACGTATTCAATTTATTAGTTTTTTGTACTTGATGTACACCTTAGCTACTTGGCAAAACATTTAAAACTTGAAGAGCCATCCTCTAACCCCAGGCTCCAGCGACGGCCACAAGTGATGTCTTCCAGACCTTTCCCTCTGCCTTGATTTTCTGGTGATAGGCCGGCATCCTTGTCTCCCCACGCTGTCCGGCCTGCACGGGGCCCTGTGGAGAGTGACCGTGAGGGAGTCCCAGGAAGGGGCAGAGCCTCGGGAGCCTCCTGCTTTCTGGGCAGGCGTTTGAATGCGCTTGGGCAGCGAGGTAGCCTCCCCAGAGACCTGTGCAGTCCTACAGTGACCTTGTTTCCCGAGCTCAAAGCTCGGGATTCTCCTCATGCCCAAGGGGTCTGGTCGAGCCTGATCCCTGGCGGGTTTAGGGATAACACAAGGACGGGACTGCAGGGTCGAGGTCTCTGCTCTGGATTTGGGAGACTCCGTGGCTTACTCGGGGAGGGAGACGCGCTGCAGAGAAACGCTCACGCTTGGGAAGTGAGCGAGACCGCCCAGCGCTCCCGGGCCAGACCGCAGCGGCCCAGTCCCCGCCTGGCTCGAGCTCAAGGCAGTCTGCTTCCTCAGCCCGGTCCGCTGAGACCTCGAGCTCTTGGGCAGAAGGTGGGAGATACAGGGTCTTGCTGGGGGGACTCCAGGGGTGCTCTGGGCGCGGACGTTGGAAGATTTGAGATGAAGAAACATCTACTCACCAGAATTTTAAGAGGGCGGAGGAAGGGCGGAAGGAAGGCGCCAAGAAAGGAGCAGTTGGACTCAGAACTGCACTGAATGCTCCAGGAGTCCCCAAACGCTACTTACGCCCCCGGGGTGCGGGCTCGAATCTGCCCCCAGCAGCCCGCTCCCCGTTCCCTTGCCCACCCTGCGCCGATGCGGGTCCGGCTCCCTCCCTTCGGTTTCCCGCAGCGGCCACCGCCCAGCAGCAGCGCGCGCCACCGCACCGGCCGGTCCCCAGGGTCGGGCGTAGCAGAGTCAGACCCTTCGCGAACGCCCAGTACAAGTTTGGTAATAGAATTAAGACAACAAACTGAAAACCGACTGTCCCGCATAAGCCCGGGATGTGACGACGTCTGCAGTGGGCGACGAATCCAAAGAACAGTTTCCCTTTCCGGTCAGCAACGAGCCCCTGCCGGCGCCTGCCCGGGTCGCTCCGGCCGCCACACCTACGCAGGGCGGGCCTCGGTCGGCGCCCTTAGCCGCTGGCATCACCCCTTCACAAATTAAAGCACCGGCAAAAGAAAGGAGGCGGAATCGACATGCACGAATTATTGGGGGCGGGGGTGGGGGCGAAAGCAGATGCTTAATTTTCTACTTCGCCTGCGCGCTGCTGTGCCCGCATCTGTCAACTCCCCCTACCCCACTTCCCCCTCCTTCCCTTCCCCCTGCGCCCCGGCAGCCGGAGAGCCGAGCCGAGGACGCGCGAATTCTAGCAGGAATCCAGGGACTCGGAGGCGCGGGGCGAAGAGACTCCGGAGCGCCCCTGAGCCCGGGGCATCCCGGGCAGACCCGGAGAGGGGCTGGGGAGGTCTGGAGGACCCGGGGTTGCGCCCAGATCTCCTTCCCTGGGTGGAGTAAGAACTGCAAATCTCGAAAAAATTAATCGGACGACGCAGAGGAGCAACAAAGAAGCCTCCTCCTCAGCCTCCCCAATCCACCCAAAGTTAACCAAGGCTGTCGTCTTTGCAGGAGTGGGTTTCCCAGTCCGTGTAGACGACACGACTGGGCTGTCCGTCTGCTGCGCGACGCCCCGCCCCGTGGAGTGTCACCGAGCCCGGCTGATATAAGGACCGGGACTGCAGGGTCGAGGTCTCTGCTCTGGACTTGGGAGGCTCGGTGGCTTACTCCGGGAGGGGGACGCGCTGCAGAGGAGAAACACCGTCAGGTAACGAGCGAGTCCCCCGCGCTTGTTTGCGCAAATCCTCCAAAAACCTGCCCAGGTCCCCGCCGGTTCTCCGAGGGTGCTGTGGCGAAGGCGGGGTGCGGCGACCGCAGCTTCCCAGGCCCGAGCTTGCCGGGACAGCTGCTTTCCCGCTCGAGAGACTGGGTTTGTGGACTCTCCGGCGCAACTTCCAGCCCCAGCGGGCTGTGGGGACCCTGGCGCCGGGAAGCCTGGGACGCCGGGCGAGCTGGGGAGGAGGGAGAGGCGCGGAGCGGCACCGCCTAAGTCTTACCAAACCAAGCTTGGTAAAATTTCCCCGTGGTTCAGGAGCACGAAGGGCTTCAGAGATAACGGCTAAATTGAGTACCGACGCTCCCGAGGATGAAGCCAAGTGAAGTTGTGGCCTGGGGACAAATAGGGTCAGTGTCCAGTCTGTTTACAAGGCGCGGTGTTCCGGAGGCTTGCCCGTAAGCCCCTGGCTTGGAAGGTCGGTCTCCAAACCGACAGACATCCCACAGGGTGGGCAGGCTCCGGGGTAGCCGGTGCAGCCCCGTATCCTCAGTAAAGTGGCTAACTAGAGCCCCTGTGGATTGTCCTCAGAGGCTGCGGCTGCGGGAGTGATCCGGTTTCCCGTTTGCACGAGACTGTCCTAGGAGCCGGAAGGAAATCCTTTAGGACTAGTGCTGGAGAGAGGGGCTGCTCGGCTGTGGGGCTTTTGTAATAGCCCCGCCCGTTCCCCTGCCGGTGGGGCGTGGCGGACGTGGTGGTTGGGACCTAAAGCCTCTAGGAGGAGACCCGGGCTGTGACTTAAAGTCTGGCCTTGATCCAAAGGGGGACGAGCCTGCGCCTGCCTTGGTGGGGAAACAGAAACTGATTCTTAATCGGTCTGTGTGGCGCGGGGTGAGGAGGTGAGACTTCCTGGGGCCGGATACCAGGCGAGCACTCTATGCCAGAAGTATTCATTTAAATGTCGCAAGACTTAAACTCTTTTGTTTTAAAAAATGAGCAGTCACAAGTTTTATTACCTCCATGCAAGTGGAAGAAGAGGGAAATGCCATGATCCACTCATCGCCGGTTTATGAAAATTCACAGGTTTTTACAGTAATCCCCCCTTATACAGGGGGTTGCGTTCCGAAACCGCAGATAGTAGGGAACAGAGTCTGTAGGGATTACATACTATTTTTTCCCTATACTTTCACCTTTTCACTTAAAGGAAGCACTTTATGGCTTCTCTTTGGCATATCTGAATTGTCAGCATCACTACTCTTGCTCTTTGGGGCCATTAGGTAAAATAAGGGTTACTTGAACACAAGCACTGCCACAGTCAGTCCACCAAGTGACTAAGGGAGAGGGGAGGGAGTAGGGAGGAAGCGCATACAGGGTGGATGGCTGGACAGAGGGATGGTTCACCGCCAGGGCTGCAGGGAGCGGAAAACATGAGACTTCATCATGCTATTCAGAATGGGTGCGATTTAAAACTGATTGTTTATTTCTGGAATTTTTCATTTAATATTTTTGGACTGTGGTTGACCACAGTAACTGAAACCTCGGAAGAGGAAATCAAGGATAAGGAGGGACTACTGTATATCTACCAGAAAACAGAAATGGATTTCAGTATTATTGTCATGGCAACAGGACGTAAGTAAATTCATAATTCAGTATCTCTCAAGGCTGATGGACACATTCACAGGCCGGAGCAATAGTCTCTGGAGACCAGGTGTCTTAGAGGATTCCTTTGCTAGGAAAAAAAAGATCTACAAGGGCAATTTAAAGGAGCAAAATACTTCCTGCTTTTATGCACCTGTATGGGAAGACAGCACATTTTCTTTTATTTTGCTGGAGTAATTTTCTCTGGCGGTTAGGAGAGCCTGCTGTGTTCTACTGAGAGAAGAGTTGGCAAACTTGAGAAGTGTAAATGTACTACATGTAGTGGAAAGCACAGGGCATCATTGTCAAGTGAATTTAGGGGGCATATAAAGGTCTCTGTGTGGAGTATGCAGAATTTGAGACTATTTTTCTTTGAGACAGAGTCTCTGTTGCCCTAAGTAGAATGCCGTGGCATCAGCCTAGCTCATAGTGTTACAGCAAGTGTTACAGAGACTGGTCCCAAAGGAATAACCGAGCGGCACGCAGAGAGTTGGAGAGTCAGCGTTTATTCTCGCCGGCGGACCCAGAGGAGACTTGTCTCCAAATTCTGAGCACCGCTTCCTTATTTTTGTCAGGTTTTATACTTTTTTGGGGTTAGACATATCCAATAGCATACAAGCATAAATGATTAGCCAATTAGCAATAGGATTTAAAAGATAGCCAATTAGCAGCACTTCTTACAAGCATTAAAGTTGTAACAGGCTCATAACTTTGCTTAACTGTTTTGTGGTTTTAGCTAACAGGCGCATAATTCTACTTAGCTTCCTTCCTGGTTTTAAGCGGAATTAGCATTTGAAATTTCCCCAACAATAGCAACTTCAAACTCCTGGGCTCAAGCAATCTTCCTACCTCAGCCTCCCATGTAGCTGGGACTATAGGTGCGTGCCACGACGCCCAGCTAATTTTCCTATTTTTAGTAGAGACAGGGTCTCGCTCTTGCTCAGGCTAGTCTTGAACTCCTGACTTCAAGCAATCTTCCCACCTCAGCCTCCCAGAGTGCTAGGATTACAGGCGTGAACCACTCACCCAGGCCTTATCATTAGTTTTTGAGTACTCTGTATATAATCTAGATACAAGTCCTTTATCAGATATATAATTTGTGAATATTTCCTTCCAGTCAGGGGCTTGTATTTTCAACCTCTTAAAAGAGGTTGAGTTCTTAGAGGAAAAGATCTTAAAGTCCAATATATCATTTTTTTCCTTTTATGTATTGTGTATTTAGTGTCATCTTTAAGAAATGTTTGCCTAACCCAAGGAAAAATATTTTCTCCTATATTTTCCTCTAGAAGTTTTATAGTTGAGAGACTTAATATACATGTGGACAATGGCCAGCCCATATATAAAAATAGAACTCTGACCGACAATCTCTACAGCAACCAGCCTGGGAACCCAAACAAACACCTCACTGGCAGTTAGCCAGCAGTGGTCAGGACTTGGCCAATAACTGACCACTTGCCTAATTTTTGCTCCCACTTGCAACTCAGGATCAACCACAGAAAGCCAAGTATGTTTTCCAAACTAATCATGCAGGGCACCCCTTTCTGAGTTAGCCTGCCTGCAGCTTCCCTGTGACAACAACCTTGAATCACACCATACCTGAGCCTTCCCTTTTGGTCACTACAAAGCTTTCCCACTCCCCTGCCTGGTTTTGAGTCTCTGCCAAATGCAAGTGATGGTGGCTGACTCCCTTATTATAGTGAGCTCTGAATAAATAGCCTCTACTTGTTCCCATCTGTGTGGTCTTCACTAATAGCCACAGTTTTCCTGGAGCTTCCACCAATATACCACTTCCTATCACTGTGGACCCCAGCCTTCAACCAGGTGTGGTACCTACAGAGGCCACCGGTGCCTCGCTGCTAGCAGCTTGTTGAGCTTGTGCTGATGTGGTAAGTCAGCACTGGCTCTGAACTTCTCTTTTTTGTGTGTTGAGTTCCTCAGCTATTAATACTTATGCTCAGTTTGGTACCTGGGTTTTGTTCTTGGCTTTTGTTATTGGTTCCCATTTGTTTGGCATCCTTGGTGGAATCAAGACATTCCCTTCCATCCCTTTTTGCTCTCTTTTTTATTAGTTTGTGTTGTGCCATTTAAAAAATGTCCTGGGAAGGACAATGACAGGGTAGAACACAGGCACAGGCTCTATACGCCTGTTCCATTGACCTCACAGCCAGCGAGTTTGTGGTTCTCCCTGAACTGGTGTCCACTTGGAAAAACTTTGCTGTGAGTCACCAGTAAAACCAGATGAGGTTGTCCTTCCACCTTGAGTATTTGATCTTCACTGTGATCCAGGGAGAGTGTCCTCTCTGGTTTTCCTCCTTCTCGGGAGGGGCACAGATTATCAGGTCTGTGTTCAGAGGTGGCCAACTGTAAGGCTGGGGACTTTAGACACGAAGTGTACAAGCATTGCATTCCTACCGACAGTCACCAGCTCGCCTGGGGTCTAGAGCCTCCCTCTTTAGGAAAAACTGCTTCTTATATGCACAATGCTAACTTGTGCACCTGCCTTCCTAAATGGCATAACTTCAAGGATGATTTGGGCCTTTAGTGGCCACTCTGGGGAACATTTGACTTGAAAAAAAATTGTTCATTTGAGAGGCACTTTAGAAAAGTGAAGGAATATGATTTCTCGGAACCAATTGGACAGAAGTTTTTGATTGGTGTGCAGAGATCTCCAAATGAGATTCTGAATCAGAAGTTGTTTCATTAAAAGATTCTTTGCCCAAAGCTCATGAGCAATTTGACGCACTGAAGCAGCAACCGATTAGACTCATTTCCCTAGTAAATCCTTCCCCTCCTTGCTGTCCCATTGCCTCCTGGTATCCAGCTCTCTCTCCACCCCCCCATCTCTGATCTCTCTCCTGCACTTCAGTCAACTCCTCCCTTCTCTTCCCTTTGTCCAGACCCCTTCCTTTTAACCAAGAGCTCTCCCCAAACTCCAAAATGCCAGGTGCCTCTGAAGATCTATCCCTCTCCATTGAGCCAGAGAAGCAGGCAACTATGGACCAAACCTTGGACCTGAGCTGAATTAAAAGCTGTGCTTAAACACTTCCCCAAGCCCAGACAAGACCAGTAAATGTTAATGGAAGAATTTAGAATTCTTTTGGTTGCATGTGACTCAGGGTTACCTAAGCTGTATTAACTTGTAGACATGTCAGTTGGAAACTCAAATACTAAATCCTAGAGGGCAAAAGCTGATTGGATTGATTCAGAAAGGGACCTACGGGATCCCTCTTTCCACAGTAAATCTTAGGGTAAAAAATACAAAGGTCCAAAAAGTAGGGCAAAGTCTCCTAAAAACCATACCCAAAACATTTCCAATAAAAATTGATTAGACCGTATATTATTTTTTTGAGATAGAGTCTTGCTCTGTCACCTGGGCTAGAGTGCAGTGGGTCATCATAGCTCACTGCAACCTCAAACTCCTGAGCTCAAGTGATCCTCCTGTCTTAACCTCCCAAGGAGCTGGGATTACAGGCACGCACCACCATGCCTGGCTGATTTTTCTAGGACCATAATTTAATCATGCAAACACGGAAAAGATGAATTTAGAGGAGATTTTTCAGGCTAGACTAGGAAATAACTTTCAACAACATTGGGAAGTTAAAGAAGATGCTGACGTAACAGCAGCCTTTCATCTCATTTTGTCAATGGAGCTAAACCTGAAATTGGAGACTTAATGCTAAAACAGAAATTAGAATGGAAAATAGCCCCTTTGTCTGAATTATAACATTTTGAAAGGGCTTTAAAATCAAAAGTGAAACAGGATTCAAAATAAACTTGTGTCCCACTTCCCAACACATCCTCTGCAGCAAACAGCCAGCGAAGCCAAACCGCGTTCTATAATGCAGTTGGCCAAAAGCAGTCAGGACTACTGGCTTCCCTAATTTTTGCCCCTGCTTCCAACTCAGGACCAACCAGAGAAGATCAAATATGTTCCCCAAACCAATCACACAGGATGCCCCACTTCTAGTAAGCCCACTTCCATCTTCCCCACGACAATAATCTCAAATCAGAGCATACCTGAAGCCTTCCCTTTTTCTCCCCACCATAAGCTTCCCCACACCTGTGCCTGCCTTTAAGTCTCTGCCAAATTCAAGTGATAGTGGCTGACTCCCTTGATATAGTGAGCTCTGAATAAATAGCCTCTGCTTGTTTTCATTTGGGCAGTCTTCACTTATTTCCACATCGTTTTAGGTTTTACATTTGGGCCTGTAGCATTTTTTGAGTACATTTCTATAAATGGTGCAAACTATGGATTGAAGTTTATTTCTTTTGCATAAGAATATCTAACTCTTCCAGTCCAATTTGTTAAAGACTACACTTTCTCTACTTTGCACTTTTTTTGAAGGTTAGTTGTCATATATGTGTGGGTCTGTTTCTAAACTCTTCATTCTGTTCCATGAATCTATTTATCTGTCTTTATACCAATACCACATGATCGTGATTACTGTAACTTTCTAACGATGCTTGAAATCAATTAATTTTAGTACTCCAGTTTTGTTCTTCTTTTAAAGAGATTTACGTTATAAAAAACTTACATATTTACCCGTGTAGTTACCATTTCTGATGCTCTTCACTGCTTTGTGTATTTTTAAACTTTATCATTTTCTTCCTGCCTGAAGCACTTTCCTTTACATTTCTTGTATTGCAGTCCTCCTGTTAATGAATTCTTTCAGCGTTTGTACGTCTGAGAAAGTTTTTATTTCACCTTCATTTTGAAAATTAATGTTAAAAAATTGAAGTGCAATTCACATGACATCAAACTAACCATTTTAAAGTGAACCGATCGGTGCCATTTTAGTACAATGACAATGTTGTCAACCACTCCCTCTATGAAGCTGCAAAACACTTTCGTCACTTCTTAATCCAATCCCATTAAGCAGTTACTTCTCATTTCCCTCTTCCCCCAATTCCTGGAAACCACCAATCTCATTTCTGTTTCAGCGACTTTATTCATTCTGGACACGTCACATAAATGGAATCTTATAGTATGTGACCTTATGTGGATGGCTCCTTTCACTAAGCGTGTTTGCCGGGCTCATCTACGTTGAGACATGTATCAGTGAACCATTCCTTTCTGTGGCTGAATAATATTCTATTGTATGGATATGGCACCGTTTGTTTATCCATTCTTCTGTTGATAGACATTTGGGATGTTTCTACCTTTTAGCTACTGTAAGTAGTGCTACTATGAACCTTTGTAACTTGTTGAGTCTCAAGTTGTTTGAGTGCCTAGTTTCAGTTCTGGTGGGTATGTACTTAGGAGTGGAACTGCTGGGTCATATGTTAATTCTTTGTCTAGTATTTCAAAGAAACTCCAAACTGTTTTCCACTGTGGCTGTACATTTTTACATTCCCACCATCACTGTATGAGGGTTCCAATTTCTCCACATCCTCACCAACACTTGTTATTTTCAGTTTTTTTTTTCATTATAGCCATCCTAGTGGGTATGAAGTGGTATCTCATTGTGGTTTTGACTTCCTTTTCCCTAATGACTAATGTTGTTGAACATAATTTCATGGGCTTATTGGCCATGTATAAATCTTCTTTGGAGAAACATCTATTCGAGTTCTTTGCTCGTTTAAAAAATTGTGTTGTTTGTCTTTTTGTTGTTGAGTCACATTCATTTTTAAAAGGTATTGTCACAGGGCATAGAATTCTAGGTTGACAGGTATTTTTTTCTTTCAGTGGTTTAAAGATTGTTTGAGGTCAGGAGTTCAAGATCAGCCTGAACAATGTAGTGAGACCCTGTCTCTACAAAAAAAAGTAGAAAAATTAGCCAGGCATGGTGGTGTGGTGACACACACCTGTAGTCCCAGCTACTTGGGAGGCTGAGGCAGGAGGATCCCCTGAGCCCAGGAGTTTGAGGTTGCAGTGAGCTAGGATGATGCCGCTGCATTTCAGCCTGGGAGACAGAGCAAGATTCTGTCTCCAAACAAGCAAATAAAAAATAGGTTAGTAATCTTCCCAAAGACAGAAAACTAGCAACTACTGGGGGAAGAGTGCAAACTCAGGTTTTTCTCCTTCTACAGCCCAAGCCATTTATTATCATACTATGCCATCGTCCCTTTGGTTATTGCCTGTAGCACAGCTGAACGAAATTATTGGATAGTGAGACCAATCAAGTCACAAAAATCCCCCTTTGAACTGATTTCATGCATATCAAGCAACCTTCTGAAATCTGGCTTCACACGTTCTATACCTACAGGAAGAGAGTCAGTTACTTTGAAATAAATGCCCAAGTTCCCTGACAGTTACATTTCCCACCGAACAGTAATCAGGTACCACTGTGGCTCAGATACTTCAGTCTATTTTGAGTTTTGGGTAATAAATCAGTTTCCTTCAGGCCTGTCAACTTCGGGGTCCTAAAAAGATTAGTTTTATGATCGTGTAAGCCTAAGACTAGATTTGGGATACAGTTAAATTCACCAAGGACCTGCCATTCCAGTGGTGATTCTTGGCAGCTGGGACATGTGGCTTTTCCTGGCAGACCCCAATAACTGAGCTCTTTTGCCGATGTTTATATTGTGTATCTAACATTTACTACCAACTGGATCTCAGATTCTTTTTGTCTACTAAAGTACTTTTTTTTTGCAGCAGGGCTTGATGTTTCACAGAGTTACTGTGGAGCAAGCTGAATATGGACCAAGTTGCGCCCTGATGCTGAGATGTTAGGCTCAGTCTTGTTTAAGCCTTTGTAGCTGAAACTGCCCCTCAATGGCCTCTGCTCACAGAAACAGAGCTAGGATGTATATTTATAATTTTTTTGACAAGATGGGAACCATTTGGGTCAGGAGAAGCTAAAGGATCTGCTCTATAGCAACAATGATAAATTACCAATCCAATCTGGTTTGTTCCTTCCCAAAATTGGGCTTATTATAAAACAAGCTGAAGATCGACCAGGTCTCAGCGAGAGGAGAAAGACAAAGAACGAAGAAAAACAATAAACATCAGCACACTGTAGAGACACCTCTGAAAGCTTTCCAGTTGCTTTCCGGCTCCAGTCCACAAGTATCATTGTAAAATTTCCTATTTTCTGCAGGTGACCGGAGAGACATTGCCAGTCAGAGAACTTGGCAGAAAGTTACCAAAATCAGAGCATAAAAATAACATCTTGATCATTTCTGCGGTGGCAGTGGCCTTTCAGTGGACTTAGCTCCTCAACCTGCCCTACACACTTAATTCATGCATGAATCTGGCCTCAAGCTAGATGGGAATAATGAAGTGACTAACCTCAGAAGGGTGGCCTTAATCTGTTAATCTTCCTGCCTCCCTGTTCTTGTCCTATTCTAACAGTTCTATCTTTCTGTTTTTCAGGAGAACATTTCAGGAATAGGCCTATTCAGGAATAGGTCAAGTGCTGAGAAGATGAGTCTCAACGTTGATTTGGAAACAAATTTTGCTGAGTATGTCCTCGATGTAGGAAAACTCATCCTCGGGACTCAGCAGAGGAGGGAAATGGACCCTCAACTTCAGGAGAAACAAAATGAAATCATCCTGCAAGCAATATGTGCTTTGCTGAATTCTGGTGGGGGCATGATCAAGGCTGAGATTGAAAATGAAGACTACAGTTACGAAAGTCATGGAGTAGGGTTGGATTTGCCCCTGATTTTCAGAGGCTATTTAGATGCGATGCAGCAGGGAAAACTCTTTTTGATTTTTGTGAAATCATGGAACACAGAGGCTGGTGTACGAGTTGCTACTTTGTGCTCCAATTTGTACCACAGACAGAGAACATCTACTGATGTCATGGGTTCTCCGGAAGCTCTGGCGTTCCTCAAAGGGAGGACTAAGACTCCCATGAATGTAAATGATTCCAATTCGTTAGGGCCACAGGAAGCTCAGGGAGGTGCACAACATGAAGGTTCCGTAGAGGCCTCGGCTGCTGCTTTATTTGATAGAGCACAGCTTCAGTATCTGGAAAAACTCAACTTTCCTGAGTCCACACATACCAAATTTATAATGTTCTCAGCAAATGTGTCACAATGTATTAAGGAGAGACTCCCCAAGTGTGTTTCTGCATTCGCAAATACTGAAGGAGGATATGTATTTTTTGGTGTGCATGATGAGACCCGCCAAGTTATTGGATGTGAACAACACAAAATAAAACTTACCACCTTGAGGGATACTATTAATGGCTGTATTAAGAAGTTACCTGTCCATCATTTCTGCGCACGGAGGTGTGGAATACGATATGCCATTAAATTCCTTGAAGTACACGATAAGGGGGCCCTCCATGGATATGTCTGTGCGATCAAGGTGGAGAGATTCTGCTGCGCGGTGTTTGCCAAAGATCCTAACTGCTGGCAGATGAAAGACTGCCGTGTGAAACAGCTGGCCACAAAAGAATGGGTAGCTTGGATGATGGAAGCCGACCCAGGTCAGGGAGCAAGACCAACAATGATTGTAACGTTTGCTGGTGATGGGCTGGGCAGAGAGGAAAGGGTGTTATGGTATTCTTTGGAATCTGGGGGACAGAGGTACTCTCTGAGTTGCAGATGCCTGATTTATTAACTCCTACAGATGCGGGAGGGGTCCCTCCCCTTCCTTCCCCCTACCATCTTGAATATTCTGCATTCAACTGATGCTCAAGGCTGTAACCCCACTAGAGGTTGGTGCAGGGGGCTGTTTGACCTACTTATTTCTGTTTTCACATCCTTTATCATGTTTATATTCCAATCTTTTCTTTCCCTTCCCAATTATGAACTTGCATTAAATTATTTAAGAAATTCCTTTTTCACATGTACAGATATGTCCTCTTTAACTAAGTATCACTTTCCTACGACTTCCCACTCTTGTCTGCTTCCCTGGATTAAATATTCTCCCTTTCTCATTGCCCCACTTCCACTTTTGAACCAAAATACGACCAAACCATGGCTTTCCCTCTTTTTTCCCACATTTCCTTTTGAGAGAAAACACGTGATGCTAACCATTATTGAAAAGTCACAGAGCAGTGTTGGTGATATGTATCCACCTTGGAAAAGGAAAGACTGAGATGAAATTAGATAAAAGAAAATCAATGGTAGCTTCTTCAAAAGTCCAGAGAAAACAAAACTCCATTTCAGAATCTGCTCAGAAATCTATATCCATTGACCTTCCCATCTTCTAATCATATTTGTTTAAAAAGAATCATATTCTAAAAATATAAAAATAGTTTTCTTTCAATATAATTAAATTAAAAACTGTTATTCCACACTATTTTTTTTCCTCAGGAAGAAACCTCAGTAGGGTTTCCTGAGCTAACTTGGAATATAAACATGAATATCTGTGGGCTGTGGCTGGAGTTATAAGACCAAGTGAAAGACTCCGCAACACAGCTCAGCTATAAGATGGGGTCGGAATTTTTGCATATTGAACGCTTGGTTCTTATTTCCCAAGATATTTCCAGGTTTTCTGAGATGGTCCTTGAGCTGAGTTTGTCATCCGCCACACCCCGCAGCAGAGCTGTGTACACTCATAAGAATTTGGAATGTCTGAAAGAACAGCGGAAACGTCGCTTTCCAGGTAATTTGTCATCTCTGGTTGCTTTGGAACATGTCAATTGTTCATTTGTAGGAAAAAAAAATTGACTCCTATTTTATATTTTATGCAAAATCAGTTCCAGAAGGTTTAAGGATTTACATATCATAAACAAACTTTTAGTAGAAAATGTACATGAGTAATTTTTGTCATTGGTGTAGGGAAGGATTTCCTAAGCCAAATACAAAAGTGCTAAACTGAAACAAAAAGATGGATACAATTAACTACTTGAAGATTAAGCCTGGATGTGGTGGTGTGTCACGTGCCTGTAGTCCCAGCTACCTGGGAGGCTGAGGCAGGAGGATTGATTAAGCAGAGGAGTTTCAA